ACGTGCTTGGGGTAAGAAACGTGCGTGCCCAAAGGTGGGTAACCACATTCCAGCGAGGAAGGATCTTCCCTTGTTTGCTTTCTGAGTGCTGATGTGTCTCACCATTACAGATACTGACCTTGCCGCAACGACTGTAACCAAATAAAATGACTCAGCAAATGCCAATCTAACTGCAGTTCACCCAGGAGTTGGAGACAGCCTGAAATAACAGCCTCCCCATTGCACTGGGCAATGGCAATGGAGTGTCTCTCTCTTCAAAGATGAGTGTAGGTGCTTTGGGTGGGTGTTTTTCAGGTCCTAATGGGAGGGGAAAAGCATTTTTCTGCCCCACAGGCCGCCTGGTTTAGTGTGGAATGGTGATTTGAGTGATTTTTATTGCCCTGCCTAAAAGGAGTTTGAAGTCTGTGAGCAGTCTTCAGAGAGTGATTGTCCCTCTCCAAAAGCCCCCATAAAAACAAATCAAATCTCTGTTTAAACCTAAAGGATGCCCTTGAGACCATTAGCTCTGCTTAGGCACTGCAGTCCTAACCCATTAAGATAAAAATAAATAGAGCTTATTTTAGGAAGAGGGAAGTGGGAACCAGCCCAAGCAGGAGTGAGCCACAGCAGGCGCAGTGCAGATGTGTTAGGGTTGGGTTTTTCTTTTGTCTCCTGCACCTTCAACTTCAAAGTGAAACTCAGCAATCTTTTTAATTTGCCACAATTGGCTCCTGCCTTAGTATCTAACAACATAGTTGGACAAGAAAAGATTCTTCTGGAAATGCCACGTATTTCCCAAATACAGATTAGTCTGTAGCAGCAATCCCAGTACCTGGGGACATGGGCAGCATTTGCCCAAGCCGGGACAGCCAGTGACAAATACCACTTACCCATGTCACGGTACAGTGCCTCTGACCTTCAGGGCAAAGCAGCACGTCCCAGAGATGAATGAACGATTACTCGTGTTGCATGCAAGCAGCGACAGTCTGTGCAGAAAGTAATAGCTACAGAGAAAATCCCTGTTCCTGCTGCTGCTTCCCAAGCAGACAATTTTGCTTTAGAGCTGGCTTTTCTGTTCTCAGAAAACTGACAACAGGCTAAAAATTAAGTCTTTCAGCCACTCCTCAAGTATTGAGAAAACATGAGTGTATCAGCAGAATATACTGCAGGGCTGTGCTGCCTCCTGGGTGTTAAAACCCCCAGTGCTTTTGCTTCTGCACATGCCAAAGCACAAAGGGGCAGCTGAGGAAACCCAGGAGCCAGCTGAAGGCATCATTTTCCTCCCTCAGCTTGGGTCTCATGCAGCCCAAGGGCTGATGGCATCATCTCTTCCCAGTGAGGATGTGCAAAACCCAGAGCAGTGCTCACATGAAGCACCTTCTCCACTCCTGCTGATCTAACAGCTGCCCTGTTAACAGGGTGCTGCAATGGGTGATGTCAACCCCAGCCTTTGTGCTCCAGTGTCTGCTCCCCAGTACACTGGTAGCACACGTTGTAGCAGCTTGTGGGTAAAAGCAGCAATGGGTTAAAACTCTGCTGTGAGGTGGTGCTGGAGCTCCAGGTCCAGCTTTATATAACAAATTGAGAACAAATGCATGTGCAAATGTGATAAGGCTGAAAATGCATCTGAAAACAAGTCCCACTCACAGGAGAGGTGATGGGAGATGACAGAGCGATGCGCATAGGACCGTGCTTAGATCCACATGCCATGCAGATGAGTGGCTGGGTGGAGGCTGATTCTGAAATGCTTTGGAATTACTTTTAAGACTTTGTAGGCTGGAAATTCTGGGTTTGTGAACCTGTCTGCTCAGCAAGGTTTTCTTAGGCACAGTGAATTTCCCCTCTGTTCCACCGAGGTCTGAAATGTGCTAGTATCTTGCACAAAGCAAAAATTATCTCTGTTACTGACCTTGGTTGGGTCATCTAAGAGATGTGAACAAATCTGTTTCATGTAAAATAACTAGTCTGAGTTAGAATGATATTTCTGTCTATTTCTTTGTTACATTTGATGAAAGGGGACTGCTAACAGAGCAATGGGGAGTTGCCTGCATGTAGTTCAGACCAGTGTTTTGGCCTGTATGGAATAACTCAAGTTATACCCAGAAGTGACAGGGAAAACTGCAGTTACTAGGTTGTAGTAGGCACTAGAGGGCACAGAAAATTGTCTGTTTTGCTGTTTCTTTATCCTAAAAGTTGAGCTCCATTTCATCCTTAATGAATTGCTATCATTCCTGCTTTTTTTCTGGTCCCTCAGCAGCCTAAACCAATTACATTCACATAGAACAGTGCATCTCTAACTCTCTCAGGAAAGCCGTAAGTATCCACTTACAAATGAAGGTGGAGACTGTAAAAGAGCTACCTTCTGGCACGCCTTGAAAGGCAACGCAGACTGCTAAAGTTTCCAACAAAAAATAAAGGAGAACACTTTAATCTGCATGTTTTAAACATGCAGACATCTACACATCAGCTAGCTGGCTCAGTGTGCAGCCTGAGCATGCCTCAGACACCCAGAACTCAACAGGATGAAAAATGAGGCAGTCAAAGCACTTGTTGAAAACGGAGTTGAGGAAATAATGTCTGAGCTTTGCCAAGGGCCAGATTCAGAGAAAGCTGCTGGCTCTGTTCTGTACCACGATTTGAGGATTTGACTGGTCTGTGTTACCAGGCTAAGGTGTTTCCTGTCACCTCGCCTCCTTGTGCATGCGAAACCAGTTCTCACTTCAGCTACCTCTGCTAGAGTATGCTTGTTTTCACTGTATGTTCAGTTTTGCCCAAGCTAGCCTACAAACTCGTTTCACATTTATTTTAGAAAGGAAAGAATTCTTCTTGTGCAATAGGGAATATGCAGTCATATTGCATGCCAAATTCGAGGGGAAGCAGATGGAGGAAAATTAATCCTCATGATCAGATCCACAGTGTTCTTTAACATTTAACCTTTATGATATAAATAAGACAACATGTTTTAAGTTTTGTCCTTTAACCGTTGAATCTGATCCAGACGAGATCTACTCTGCATCATTCACAAGCTCAAGGAACTGTATTTTGTATAAGATTCCGCTGATTGTTTTACCCCCCAGAGCTGCCTTTCTGCTTCTCCAGAGGAAACTGGTCCATCTTCCCCATCGTCTCTCTCCCTTGACAGGGCAAGACAGGGCATGCCCCGAAGTCAGTTACAGTCATGTCTTTGGGTACTGAAAAGCAAAATCCATGCGCACAAGTGTATGCTCAGGATGGAATTCAGGATGTTTATTGGTAATAAACAGATCTCCCTATAGTACTGAACATGTTATATTGACTTCCATGTGAACCTTTAATTCTTTCCCCATTTTTCTCTTGAACATAAGAAAAATACTCACTAAACAAGCATCTAAACCCAAATTTTACAGGCTGTCTAGATCAGTGAATTATTGGTTCTGCATTCTAAATTGCTCTTTTCAGGGTTATTTCTGAATTGCCTCCTACATAATCAAGTCTCCAGCTACTTTTAGAAAGCCATCTTCATAACTCAAGGAACTGCTATCATGGACTCTTCTGTTACCTCATCTTCCCAATTGCCTTGGCACTGACCAAGACAACAGCAGTTGGTATCTCTGCAGCTGGACTTCAGATGTTACAGCTCCGAGAAGAGTAACAGTCTGCTGTTCAAATCAGCTAATTCAGAAAAATCCTAGGACAGTTTGCATTCAGGTGGTACCAGAGGATCTCTGGAACACAGTAAATAACCTAAAACATTGATTGCCAATGACAGTATTGCAAATAGTTTTAATACAGAACTACACTGCAGCCTAATGCAGGATTTCCATTGTTAGCTATGTATGCTAACTTAATACGTTCAAACCCTCAAGGCACCTGTGAAATCACACACACACACACACACACCACTTAAAATGTATGTTTATTGCATGTAATGACTTGTGGAAAAGACCAGTTTTTCCTTCAATTATCGATAACATAGAGAGGTCAAGACATGAGCCAATATGGAAACTCAGAACATGAGTCACTAGCATAGCAGAAGGAAAACTCTACCCCTAATATCTTCCCCCCTCTGATTGTCTAAATCCACATTGTTTGTGAAAATGTAAAAGCAATTTCTGCAAAAGCTTATTTCTCCTCTCTGAAGTTTTTCTTTCCTGGTACTTGATCTTCGATCTCACTACTTGGGTTTATTTTTTTGCACATGCAGAATCAAGTTTTAAAAATAAATGCCCACAGTCAGATGTTTAAGTCTTACAAAATAAAAGTCTGCATCCAGAACTAGTACTTCTGTAACAAAAATAAAGGGGAAGCAGACTTGGAGAAAACCTAATAAAAAAAGGAAAGCAGCTTTACAGGTATAACATGTTACAGCTTTAACACTGTTCCACCTGCTGCCAGGAATTTTAACTTCTTCCTTGTTTACAAAGTGGACATTGGAATCAGGTTCTTCATTTTAAGAAGAAAAGCCAGGATTACAGCATCCTCAGCCCCACCATTAATATAACCACATTAAATGTGGTTATAAAAGCCATGTTTAATAAGACAGTTTAAACCATAACACAAATAATTTGTAAGCCTTCCAACTCTAAAGTCATGCTGTTAAGTTCTTCACACTTCTCCAAGTTTTAATGGTTAAAGGAGAAAACTCACAGTTTAAGGACTAGTATTGCCAAACACAAAGCAGATGCTGCTTTACATTGTCAAGAGATATTAGAGCCTGACACTTGGTATTGCATCAACAGGATACTGGAAGTTATAAGGGCGAGATGAATACTGTTATCAAAAGAACTCAGATCTCTGTGACTGAAATTTGCATGTTAACATCTGCAGAAATGGTATTTAAAAGCTCTACAGTCAGCTTCTATCATTAAAAAGGCTGTACAGCATTTAAGATACTTGTATTAACAAAACCTGTACAAAGTTATCAAGTTTTACATTTCCAAAATACTTACTACAAAGTGCTTGAGAAAGAAACTATTTCTCCTTTTAAAGCCATGTGACAAGCAACTCCCCTTATAAAGAAGAGGATTCAGTAGCTGTTGTGTTTTTCTTTGCAACAATTTTTATTCTATATTAAGCAACGTAACAACCATTTCTTTTGAGCAGTTTTGCCAAATGTGTCATTACTTTATGCATATATTGGTTGGCCAAATGAACTCAGAATTGTAGCCAGGATCTGATCTTATCCAATAAAGAGAGAAAATATTTCTACTCTGTAATATCCTATATATATACATGTGTGTATGTATACATTTGTGACTGTATATGTATACATACACACACATATAATGTGACTATAAATATGTCTCCTGAAGTAATTGCTATGTCTATTGAACTTACTGGTATAGTATATCTACTTAAGTCTATTGGCAGAAATTTTCACCATCTTTTTTGGTGCCAAAAATGGTCTTTGCCATAGCAGGTTTCTATAGAACTGTAAACAACAATGAAAAAGAGTCTAGTGTATAGGAATGACTTCTGCCATGACTACTGTCCAAGAAAAGAGGCCATAGGATCATCAGGTCTCTGACGTTTCATTCTGTAAGCTTCCATTTCCTCTTCTGTTGGCTCCCTGCTGTCATAAATGCTGTTGTATGGTCTCTTCCTCTCATCTATCTGCATGATTTCTTTCACGTGAAGAAGACGAGCCTCTTCTGCGTTTAGTGCCTGAAATTAAAGAAAAAACCAAACCAAACCATCACAATGAAAGTTTATATTAGATTTCAGTATCAGAAGACGCAGCAGGCAGAATGGTGGGATAAGCAATGCACGTCTGTCCAATACACCTACAGCACACTTCACTTAATGCTCATTTTGTAGAGTTTAACATAAAATGATGGTAAAACGATATTTAACAAACAAGATACTTTCATCTCTTTCCAATTGCCAAAATCAAGTAAGAAACTCCTCAGCTCTACCTAAAATGTAATCATGACCCAGCAAGTACAAAAGCAGATAAGCAAGCATGCGATCTTAGGGGTTTGGGTATGTGTATTTTGGGGGGGGTGTGGGGTTTGTGGTGTTTTTTAAATGCTTTTTGAAATACATGTTATCCCATTCCTCAAACTACCACTCTTGCTCCGTCTAGCTATTTAAAAGAAATGGCATTTGTACAATGCTTTGATTAACCATAATTTCATATGGTTACATCATTTCACAGTCTGAATATCTAGAGGCTGTGCTCGTGGAAGGGCTGTTCAGCAGCAGTCAGCCTATAGCTTGGTGGATGGATTTATTGCATCAGCTGTGAGACTGGGGATGTCTAGGATAAAAAGTGCTAAGTTAAGCTTTGACAGTGCTTTTGATCTCTCCATCTTTCTTCAATACACAAATCACTGTGTTCTGAAATGACTTTTATATATCTACAGCTGTGGTGCCTAGACAGGAAGTGTTCTAAATCATCTAAACTAAATCTTCCAAAACTAAACGTTTATTGCATACTTGCCCAAGAAACAGGGAATATACTTTAGGGCATCTAACAGCATTTTAAATTTGCTTTAGCTCAAAATTAGCATTAAAGAACATCCCACAGAATGCCACAGGAACTGCATAGCAGGCTTCATAAAACTGACGTTGTTGTAAAATATTTTTCAAGTTCTTTCTGCCACAAAACCGTTGAATATAATGCACCTTTTTAAGTTTTTCTTGCTTCTTTTTCTCTTCACCGTCACTATCTGAATTTGAGCTCTTCTTGTGCTTCTTCTTTTTCTTCTCTTTCTGTTTCTCTTGGTGGATCTGTAAAGTGGAAAACCACTCATTGTTAAGATTCAACTTGCAAACAGTAATGTTGAAGCCATTAAGTCCCACCAAGAGTCTACTGAAACTAAGGTCTCATATAGCATTAATGGAGATGTTAATGATCTATTAATGCAGTCTAATGATTTTCAGACTCATTATGACTTGCATCATTTTGTAGTTATATGTATCCTTCCATCTCTTAAAATGCTGAGGAAAAATATCTGCCTCCCTGAGAAAGGGAAACAACCTACCTCCATCAGTGTTTTGGGTTTTGTCATGTGTTCTTCCTCCTTGGGTTGCTCTTGCAGTAAGCTTGCTTCAGCATTCTATACAACAGACAAGAGAAAGGATAGCCACTTACTAAGCATACTTGAAAGGGGAAGGACAAAAACCCCCCCAAACCAAACAAATACCCCAACCTCCTCCGAAAAGTCTAAAACTTAGATAGGAAGATTAACGATTTTTAGCTCTTCTCAAGCGACTAAGACAATACTTACAGCAATTTCTTTCCCAGCTTCTCCTGTACAGTATGAGTACTTGACAAATGAGTGGCAGCATTTGTAACCCCACTTGCCTTCTTTCCAGTATGAACCCCAAATGCTCTGAAAGAGGAGACACAAACATCCAGTGATACTCCCGTAAGAAGAGAGCTGCAATCTATTCCTGAGGTTATATCCTGGTAAGTAAACTATTTGAACAATCCAGAAAGGAAATTTATGGGAAATACTTCATAATTTTGCATTAGCTACACAGGTATATTTTCAAACAAGAGAAAAACAACAGGATGTTGTCAACTCATATTCAAAGTCAAACCGAGTAACTTCCCCTTTAGCTTAAGATTGCCATTGTAACTCAAATTTGCATTGCAACCATGGCAATTGGAAGTTTCTCCTTGGTAGAAAAGGAAAGTGTCAAATTTGAGACAGAGGAAGAATTTATTTAGTGTATTAATTATGTTGTACTGTATCCCACCGTACTTCATACCCTTCCAGTGGGAGGGAATCTGACTTTTTTATAATCTTAACATATGCTTACTGTATGGTTGTTGATCTTTACATCCTCTTCATATTTAGAGCAAGCAACAGCTTTCTCTCGTCCTTTGATGACTGTTCCATGCCTAGAGTACTCCACATAATCTTCTGTTTGAGCTAACAGCAGTTCAGCTGGTGGGGCATCCAAATGTTCTTGTCCTCCATACTAAAATGCAAAGAGAAATAACAGTTTGGAAAAAAAGCCCACCTTTTAGGCAATTAAGAATTACATTTTAAAAAGCATCTCTTTCAAAAGGCAGTGAAAGTGACACAAAGTGGACAGAGACAATTTAATCTTTAGGGAATAGTTAAGAGTGAAATACATCTCCTCCTATGGCCATTGTGGTGTTTTGGTTTGGTTTTGTTTGTTTTTCCTGGAGAATTAAAGCAGTGAATTCCTCACACAAAGCAGGAAATCTTTTAGATCAAACTAGAAGGCTCTGGTACAACCAAAGCAGTACTTTCTGTCCCACTCCTGACAAGCTGAGGATCTAAATGGATTATTTAGTTGCCAGCTGCCCAAGAAGCCAGCTGCAAAACATAAAACAAATATTTGTCTAGAAGACTGCACTCAAAACTCTAGTCTGAAAATTCTACTTTTCACATTTAAGAGAAAAGGAATGGTTTAAAATAATTCTGGGAGATCGTTACTTGGGTATTTTACAAAAGACACCATCTTTAAACTGAAAAAAAAAATAAAAATCAACCACTTGTATTATTAAAAAAAAAAAAATCCAAATTCCCACTCCTCCTACATACTGCTGTCAGATTTTTGACTGGAGAAATTCTAACAGTTAATGGAAGAGCTCCCAATAATCCAAAGAAATATAAGCAGATCTTCAAAGTTTCCTATATTAAATAATAAAATTAATCTAATTGACGAGATAGTGTGTTTAAATACAGAAATCTTTTTTATGAATCCAAGCTGCTGAGAACAGCTAATGCTGGTACATTAGTAATTTTATTTGTTTGCCAAGACCCAGGCTTCAAACTCAACAGAATTCTTATTAAATAAGATTGAATGTCTGTTACCTTCTCTAGGATGCTTTCTTTCTGCTGTGCCTTGAAATCTTCTTTTTTCACTTTGAAGGATTTATAAAGTAGCTCTAATTTTGTAGGGTCTGCTTGCAGATGAACTTCAGAGCCTTTGTCATAAGCCTCCCAAGCAAACACTGTGTACACAAGAGGTTTCACTTAATATTTATTCTAAAACTGACACATGCATTCAAATTATGATCATCTTTAACTCTGTAATTTGAAAGAAAGCCTCAATCTAAAGAGATTTATTTCTCTTTTTCACGAATGAAGCACTCTTTAAGTATTTAAATCAATTTCCTTACAAAGACCTCAAAACCTACTTACACTGAGTCTGTGCCATTGAAATGGTATCTCCAGTGTAGCGAACAAAGTTATCACCTGCGTAACCAACTCTGCAGAAAAGAACAACAGGATTTTTAGCATTCAAGAAACATGATTTCCTTTTAAATGCAACCATAGAACACCAACAGGAAAGTAAAAATTCTCCTTTGTGCCCTGAGAGTTAAGAATGGAGGAAGAGGAAGCATTCAATTCAATGAATGAAATTAAGGTCTAGGCTCCCCAGTCATGCAAGTATTAGATAGCAACTCAGAATACTTGATGCCTATGTTTACCTGGAATTATCTTATGACAGAGACCTGGAACTGCGTCTGGGATACCAAACACCGTAAGTCAAACTTGGATCTAATTGCACAATAAATATGCATAAATGGTATGTGATATTCTAGCACAGTGATTCTCACTTTTGAATTTGTGAATCTCTCCTCCCACCCAGACCCAGTGTATGGCTCTACCATTCTCAGTTATCTGAGAATCTCTTTTGCACCCTTCAAAGAGATTCAATGACTGCATAAAACATGTTGAAATTCAATGTTAACAATCCAACTTCTTATTCTTTTCACATCCCCAAAGCCACTCTGAAAAATTTAGTCTGTGGCGGAAACACAGATTCAGCAAAGGTCAAATTATGATTCTGGAGAGAAGTGAAAGCATCTGCATCTAAAACCAGAACTGGCTGGCATGATTCTAGCTGGGGGCAAGGAGAGGTGGAAAGAGCATTATTTGCCAGCATTCAATCACTGCCATCTTGTTCCAGGCAGAGAGCTAATCCAATTACTGTACTCTGAATAAATGTTTCTACTCCAGGCCTGTCTGCTCTGCAAGGCTACAGCACTACACAGGTCAATGCTGGGTCACAGCTCAAGTACTCAACTTGAGTTTTAAGTGAGACAGTCTTATGTGCAGCCAAAAGCCAGCCTATGGTATTCTTTAGTTATCTATCTAGACAATGCCAAAGCTTTCGGACTTTTTTTATGTAGACTCTGTTAACATATGAGGAGCTCTTGCTCCTAATTCAAGTATTCACTTGGGTACTACCAGTATTCCATGCTAGTCTCCACTGCTGAATGCTTTCCAACAAACAAGGGACAAAGTTTAAGATTTGGTTACTGAAGTACTTTACATAAACATCATTACTGTTTACAGGTATAACCTGTATATACAGCAGTATTCTAATTCTTGTGCAGATCGTTAAACTAAATGGTGGTCCACATATCCCTGAACATTAAGGGCCAGTATTACTAAAATACCACTTTTACATATTAAAACAAAAAGTGCTGCTAAATATTTTTCCTGTATTTACTACTACTTCTATCCATAACTGACTAGAGATTCATTAGTACACAACATACAGATAAGAGAAAATACAAAACTATTAATCTTATTTTGAGCAGTTTTGTTGGATACAGAAACATGATCCTGTTTTAACTTACTCGTCTGGATTCTTGCCTGTATTGGCATATGGGTTCTCCCTCATTGCTCTTGTTTTGGGATCATAGTAAGCAGAGTTTGGATCCAGATTCCTCAAGTACTAGGGAAAGAAAACAACATACAAGATATTTAATGTTTATGATTTAAAAAAGACTGAAGTTACTCCTGTATCACCCAGCCCAGACATTTAAGAAGCTGGATCTATGTAGAAGGTTAACCTTGACAAAGTCATAAAATGAGCAGAAATAGAACAACCCTGAAACTCCATGCCCCAGGACCCATACATAAACTCATTAACCTTTGAGTATACAATTTTTTGGAAACTAACTCTCATGAATACAAAAGAACATCCATAATGAATTCTTAACTTACTTTAGCAATATCTTCCCGAATACGTAAATTTCTAACTGTGATACGTCTTTTTGAGTCAAAGTTCTGTCCAGGCATATCAATGTCATCTGCATATTTATCTTCATCCTCATCTTCACTGTTATGATCTCTTTCCTGAGGAGAGATGGGAAACTTCTAAATAAAAGAGGACATTTACACTAGAGACATGTATGAGAGACTGATTTTAGTGGTTTCATTAAAACTTCCGTAACCCATGTAGTTAAAAACTAGCATCATTTACCTGAGCTTAAGTGTGCTATCATACTAATCTAGCATTCAACAGTTCTCAGAAATACAAGGATTTCCACTTCCTCATATGAAAACAGTTACAAAACCAGAACTGTGATTATATTAAGAATACAGTTATCTTGGGACAAACTGTATTACTAAACTAGTTATTTGCATGCATGTCCAAGGTTTGACAACACACAGGAATTAAACCCCAAAACCCTTCTGTGAAATCCAGTTATCTCTGCAGGAAAGAACAGGCAGCCAGTGGCATGAACCCAGCATTCAAACCTTTATGCAACCCTTGTTTCACTGTTGCACTAACTACAGGCCCTTTTTTCTGCCCGTGGCGTGATGCAGTGAGTAGTGATCTTACTGTCTGTGAATTTGGTTCCTCTTCTCCCCACTGCTGTCTTGGGGAGTTCTGCAGCAAACAAAGAGCACATCATCAGAGAAGACGATATAGTGGAAAAAGGAAAGATAGCAGGGATATAAAGAGCAATCAAAGCAGAGCTTGATGATGGATGCAAAATACAATTTACACGTGGCAAAGACTGCAACATCATGTTCTAGGAAAGAGCTTGTAAGTGTCTCTGTTACAGATGTATGTTGGAGACCTTCTCACTGTATTCCAAACAATTTTCCAAGTCTTTGTAAAACCGGCAAATTCTAGAAGTGTCACTGTTTGTTAGAGCTTGCTATGCCTTTGACCACTAATAGTTTACACTTTCATATCATGCAAATATAACCAAGATTCAACTCTGAAAGCTTAATCAATATTTATGCTTAATGAGGATTGACAGAATTTCAGAAGCCATGATTTAATCTGGAGAAACAGAGCTAGACTTTATTTTTCAACCTGCTTAGCCTCTAACTTGAGAATACTTGCAGCATTAAAAATGGAAATAAGAAGACTGACCAGCAAATTGGCTATACAAAACAGTCTTGGTCTTGTCAGAGATAGTTCTTACGTTTCAAACACACTTCCCTTCTTACAGCTTCATTTTGTAAGGAATATGGAAGCCAACAATGTTTGCCTTGTGGTAAAAACAGGCACCAAAAAGAGAAAGAATATTTTTCTAACGGGAAGGCCAGAACGCTGTCGTTTGTGCTGGGCTGGAGATTAAGTTCACTCTGCCATCTACTGACAAAATGTGAAGTGACAACCTCTGGAAAACGCAGGCCCAACGGTATGTCGTCTTTCTTGTGCTTGTTTTCTTTCTTACAGTATTAATTAAAAAAACCCTAGTTCCGACCAGTAGCAGTCTCTACTTTCCCCCCATTTTATAAACTTAGAATATTACCGGAAATTACTTTTTAAAAATAGAATTTTATATCAAAGATTATCAAAAGCACTGCCTATAATCTCAGAGGAGTTTGTAGAAGTTAGCAGAAGATGGGAACTCTGCAGTTATAAACTAGAGGGAATGACACTGCAAATAAGTCATAGCAACGACTGGAGGAAGAAACAAGTTTGGGTTAACATAAAGAAAATACCTTCCTATTCTAATTTATACCAATCATTACAAAAACAATCCACAGTCATGTAATGGTCATTACCTTAACATTAGTCAGATGTAACCTTTCAGTATATGAACAAAATTCCATATAAAACAAGCTTTTTTGACCCAAAATTCCATGTCATTAATGTTAGCAATAATAATCATATAGAATCTTTGCCCGTAGGAGGAAAACAGTCAACTTTCACTTGAAAGAAGATACTTCAAATTCTTGAATGTGACACACAATGTGCTGGTGCTAGGGAAGTATTTAAATTATTGAAGGGTATAAAAAAACCCCAACAATAGCAGGCCCTGCATAGAGAGGAAAAGCATCAAAGAGCAGAAGGAACCTGATTCAGGCTTATTATTAGGAGTTAGTTTACTTACCACTTGCTCCAGCTTCCCTGATGCTAACTCTTCCTGAAGCTTCTGGGCTTTCAGTGTACGTTTGGCCTGTGTATCATGAAACACATTTGTTTTAATGTTCCTTCTTAACAGCAAGTGTGCAGTAATATTTATTTATCACAACCAACTCCTCTGACTGCTGTCATTAAAATGTGCTAATTATTACCAAATATGGGGGCTTAACTGTCTTGGTGCTTGTAAAAAATCAGCAGCCTACAACTTGTCCCCTCTAACTCCTGAGCTTTACCACACTGTTTTCTGAGGCTCAAGGAGAGGAAATGACGTACACTAACTATTTTACTACTTTGTATTATACTGTTAAAAGTTTACCAGATTTATGCAGTTCTACCATTAATACATTCATCCTACTTTAAGAACTAGAGAGCTTATTTCAGTTGTGTTTAAAAACAAATCTGTTTTACTATTGTGTCCTCAATAGACTAGTTAGAAACTTCAGTGCTTAAGGTACTTTGTGACTGATGCTGCATTTATGGTTCATGCAAGAGAGGCCACTAAAGTCTAGCACCTGAAGTGGGATTTCAAAGTACCTCTGGAGACTGCCAAGGACAGTCTAGGCAGGTTTTGGTTACCTCCAAAAATGGAGACTGTCCAGCCCCACTGGGCAAGCTGTTCCCCTGTTTGATCACCCTTACTGTAGAATATTTTTTTCTTATCATTAAACAGAATTTCTTGTATTTCAGTTTTTGCCCACTGCTTCTTGTCCTGTCATTAGATACTACTCATAAGAGTCCAGTTCTGCCTTTAAACATTCCCATCAAACATTTACACACACTGATTAGATTACTTTTAGCACTAGCTTTCCTATGTACTATAGGAAAATACTGAGGACCAGGCATCGAAGGGAGTTACTTAGGCACCTAAATATCTTCTGGTACAGGTAGCTGACATCTAGCTAAGGTAGTGAACTCTTTTTTCAGCTTTTCTTAGAAGTTACTTAGTGTTCACATACATTTGGTGCATACACATAGGAAGTTATCTGCAACAGCAGGATGCCAGCCTGCAAAGAGCTGTGTACAAATATACTACTCCTCCATCATGGTAACAAAAAGGATTCATTAATAAAAAAAAATGAACGAGGTTACAAAATAGGTATTGTTGGCTCTAAAACAACTAGATAATAAATTCCTTTCTTGCATATGATTCAATCTGCATCTTGAGTAATAAATTCTAAGGTTTGCCTATTAAAAGGTAAGCAATGTGGAGAGACTATTTATTGTACAGATCCATACTCAGTTGCCAGTTCTGATCTCAATTTTCAGTTTATGTGAAGTCTGCTACCAACCATAGTATTCATCTCACTTTTTCATTATCAATACAGCACAAGGTCTAATATTAAAACTGCACATAAAAAACATGCCTCTTCCCAGCGAAACCAAACACTAAACTTTTCCTGAATGAAACGTAACAGCTACATACCAAATCAACCTTGGCATATTCCTCTACAATCTTCATATGCTCTTCTGGGTTATAGCCATTCCAACGGTCTCGCTTTCCATCATAATCAAATGTCAGCTGAGGCTGCACGTGTTCATCTGGTGCGATATTCATGCCTGTGTATCTTGCTCCAATTCTCCTGGGTCTCTGAAAGTTAAAAAACAATAGATGGATCAGTCCATTAGACTAAAATGTTACTCAGATACCCGTTTAAAAATAGTATCGAGATCCTCTAGAGCCACTTAAATTCAGCACTATAAGCCTGTGAATTGTACACAAATGCAAGTAATTAATTTCTGTATTTTAAAGCAGCACAACTGATTCCAAACTCCATCAATTTTGAACTGTATTTTCCACAGTTAAGAATGAAATTGAAACACCAATTTCTGGGTGTGGCTTCTAATTGACATGGAACAGAAAGACAGCACTTGGGTTAAAGCAAATTATTATGAAGAACTAAAAAGTTTTCACCTATTATTGCAGTACTGATCACAAACAGAATTGATGAGCAACAACCTGAACAGTAACATTTCTTCCCTTTATTTTTCCTACATAATAATTTCTTCAGAAATTTCCAAGCCACCTTTCAATACCTGTTTTTCCAAATAGCTTCCTCAAAACCAGAAATTTCTCTTTTATCTATAGCTGCCTATTTTTCACTAATATTAGAATGCACACTGTTTTCAAAACCATTAAAACATCAACAAAATGATTCTATGATTCTAAAAGTCGAGTTTACCTCCATGCAGTCCTTCTTACTGTGTGTCAATGCACCACAGTTCTCACAAGCTCCTTTACGGTATCTAGTTGCCACAGCATGCTGAACAACAAAGAAAGACACTGTTGTACAAACTTCTGGCAAGATTTATACACATGTTCCCAACACCCAATTCATTTTTTCAATAGAACTAAAGTGTGCATGATGTACCCAAGCCCAGAACATGTATTTTGATTATTATCAAACACTACCTTGTGTTTGATCAAATCAGACTTGCCTGCTGAATTAGAATCCCCAACTCCTGTCTCCCTCAAAAACACGTTCCCAGAAATCATATCCTCTTGGAATCAACCCAAATCTTTATTTTATGACAAAAAAAATTGTGCATACCTCTTTAACTCCTCGTTTGTACCATTCTCCAGAGGTGCTATACTTTTTCTGCTTCTCTGGCTGTGGTCTCTGATGCTTTAGTGTAGGTCTTTTAGAAGGATCTATGTACCATGGTACTGAGGATATGTACTGAGGAATATGAGGATTGATATCCCTGTAAAAGATGTGTAATAAATACATGGAATAGGAAAAGAACCCCCACAACAACTTAGCCTAACATATAACTCTCACATTAAAGTTCAGTGCTTTACAAGTGATAATAAAATAATGAAGTTGTTATAACACATTGCAAATTTAACTAGATGAACACAGGTTCACGTTGCGATGCTGCTAATTCCTGACTCCAAATCAAACGCTTCATTTTGTGCAATGTTACTGAGCACAAAACCAGTAACACTGCTCTTCTCAAAAGCAACAAGCCTCATAGAAGCAAGAGACAGCGAACTGATAACGTACACTGTGAAGTTCCCCAGTACCATGTTTTGGTCACTTTTAGACCACCACTTACAAGTAGCCACATAGATGGAACTTTTAGCAGCACTATCAATAGATTATGGTCAATAAACATTGAACCTACATTTTTTTGTGGGGAAAATATGTTTCTAGGGATTACTGGAATGTTAAAGCAAATTAACAGTCCCAACTATTTATTACTACAATGACCCATGTATCACCCTCATGATTATTCTGTAATCACTTCAGGGATAAAAGGCATTTTTAACCAGTACCTTTACAACAACCACAGCTTTAATTAAACTTACTTTCCTTCTTCATCCACCTCAGCAGGCGCATTTCCTAGTTTTCTCTGTTCTTCCAATTCCTTTTTTTTCCTCCAGTCTTCTCTTGTCATCTTCTTTGGTTCCTCCAGGCCCACATCATTCGATCCTCCTGAAGGAGCAGCATTCACTACTGTTCCTGATGACATACTGTTTTTTCTCTTTCTTTTCCTGTTATGAGAAAATAGAAGTCTCACAGATCAGCAGTATATGACAGCACAATTCATCATGGTTTTGCATCGAGTGAAACCAGTAACACTGTAAAATGCACTCAAAAATAAGCACCGGTGCTGAAAAAAACTCTTACTATTAATTAACGTAATGTCTCCTTTGTTATGTTAATTAATCTATTATTTAGGGTCACTTGCTGGAGGTGCCTTACTGTCTGTGTTGTTCATCTACAGGAACACTACCAAGTCTTGTGTATTTTCCTGCCCATGGCAGGGGGTTGAAACTAGATGATCTTTAAGGGCCCTTCCAACCCAAACCATTCTATGATTCTAGGTCCCGCTCTCTGCCCAGCCGGACGCCAGGCGGGGACGCACAGCAGCAGCTCTGCACGCAGCGCAGGACACCACTATCGGCGCTCCAGCCCCCGCGGACCTGCACACGGACTCACCCGCCGCCGCCACCGCTGCTGTTCGGGTCAGCAGGGCCCTCGGACCGGCCGGGGTTGCCGGAAGGCCCTGACCCGCCCATGCAGCATGCGCGAACCCGAGCCTACGCGTACGCGAGTCGAGAGAGGCCTGCGAGGAAGCAGCACCCTAGCAGGGCCCGGGCCCGCAAGGATGCGGGCGCTTCCCCGGAGCCCCGAGCGGCCGCCCCGAGCGCCGGTCCCCGCCGCTGCCCGCGGCCCCTCTACCCCAGCCCCAGGCCCTTGTTTACCTGCCAGGCCGCACAGCCACCGGGCACGCACCACGGCTACGTCACAGGGAGCGACGGCACTGCCAAGGGCGGAGCCACGGCGTCACCGTAGCAACTTGCTCCGCCCCCGGAAAGCAGGGGGTGGAGCCACAGGGAGGGCAGGCGCGGCGGAAGCGTCACTGCTGAGCCAATCGCCTGCGGAGCGTTAGTCGAAGTAGCCAATGGGCGATGCGGAGCCAGTTTAAAAGGTGGCGGTTCGGCACTGCAGGACGCTACCGGCTTGTTGTCTGAGGAGCGTCTGTAGCTTGGTGTTCGTGTGAGCCGAGGCGGGTCTGTGCCGGTACTGCTGCGCTCGGGCCTGCCGGTGGTGCTTGAGGTGGGCCCTGGGCTGGGGGAGCGGAGGGTGGGTGGTGTTACCGCTTACAGCCGGAGTGCGGGAAGTGGCTTGAACTAAGGGGAGCGCTGAGGCCTGCGGCTGTAAGTCTTGCTCTGACTGTGCTTGAGCTCTTGACTTCAAGCTACACCAGCTAAAAGCAGCTTTTTCCTTCAGGCTCCTACTGAATGAGGGGTCGTTGCGTACCTGTGCAATGGCAGTGGCAAGCTCCAGGTGGGAGCTGCCTGGATACTAATTAACAGTGTGAAGAAGTGCTCTGATCTGTTATCTCGGTTAGGGCTGAAAAATGTAGTGAAGTTATCGATTTGTATAGGGTGTCATCGGTTTCTTTTTCTCATGAAAAGGTGTCTCTGCTAGTAAAATAACTGTAATTGTACTTATGTGCTCAAATGCTACATGTTTTGAGCTAAGGACTGGATTGCTTAGCTAGGAGATGTACTCTTATTGTACTAAAGAAACCACAAAGAAGTAACAAAGCAAGCCAAAGGTATTAGATCTTTCCGTGTAGGATTGTTAGTGAGACTTTACTTCTTTCCTGAACTCATATAAGCTCTTTTAGGACTATGAGGCTACCATGTGCACTAATAATGCCTTCAAACATAAGGGTCTGTAGCTAAACTACTATTCAATGGTGTGAAGTACGTGTTTGTTCCCCCTTGTCTAAGGACCAGCACATGGCAGCTGTATTGTCTTTAATGCAGTTTGTTTAAAAAGTGTGCTTTGGTGGAAAAGAAGCTGATAAGAATAATTTCCTCTTTTTCCTGTATGGCCTTTCCAGAGTCTTCTCAACCTGAAGATGGCAACTCTGATCTTTATTGATCAGGAGAATGATGAAGTTGGAAATACTAAGAATCGGCTAAGACTCCCTTCAGGATCTTGTGAGTACATGCAGCCTTAAAACAGCAGGAGATCAGATAAAGTGCATAAATCCATGTCTTGCTAATCACTGTTTTGATCAGTAATAGTTTTTTATCCCTATGTCTACTTCTCTAGCAATTCTACTAAGCTCTTCAAATACCATAAAAATGGAGATAACTCTGTTTTTGTCATAGATGGGGTTTATGATCCTGAGTTTTAAGTGATGGACAATGATTTTTGATGGCTACTTTTCTAGCATATGCGTTTACTGAAGCAAGCTTTAGGGTTGCTATGGTGCTAAAGCTTGTTTATTTTTTTCTTCCACCCACTCCAGCAAAAATCTTATCTGAAAGAACGCAAGTTAAGACTCCACTTCCCAAAAAAACAGTCAGTACGTCTCCAGCTGCACCTCGCTCTGTCAGGAAGGCTCTTGGAAATGTGAATAGAACTCAAGGAGTCACAAGCAAGTTGGAAAAGATAAGACAGAAAAGTCAGCATTGTGCTGCAAACAAAGTGAGTACAACACACTTAGGAGGGACAGCGGGGAGCTTCCCCATCAGTTTTCATTGTTTAGCATGATGTCCTATGGTACAGAATATCCCTTTGATCTGTTGGGTCAGCTGTCCCAGCTGTGTCCCCTCACAACTTCTTGCCTATGCTTGGGTGGCGTGAGAAGCAGAAAAACCCTTGACTCTGTGTAAGCACTGCTCAGCAATAACTAAAACATCTCTATATTATTATCACTGTTTTCATTGTGAATCCAAAGCATGGCATCATATGAGCTACCAGAAAAAAATTAACACTATCCTAGCCAAAACCAGCACAAGGAATACAGGAGCGTAGGAGGTACCAAATGGCAAAGTAGTGGTTCTAGAGAAAATACTGAGTTAATGTCTTGTTTGCATATTAAGTATCAGAAACCTAGTATCATGAGTGTAAATATTCCAGTGCAGTGATTTATTGCTGCTGTAGTGTTTTACTACATAAACTCAACTGAAGCATTTGTCTGTCTCCAGGTTATTTGTCTTGAAGTTACTTAGGCATAGCTGTTGTCTGTAGCAGGCATTCTTGTCTGTAGACCTGCTATGGCACAGGAATACCATTACAAATGGAAACTGCAGTAGCTCAAATAATGTAACTTCCTCTTTTTAATATCACTAAGAAGACTGCAGGTTTAGAAAGCTGTGATGCAGTGGCTGAAGAACAGTGGCCAGAAATAGAAAACATGTTTCCTTTTGATCCTCGAGGTAAGAACTATTGGTGTAATTATCAAAATGAACAATCAGGCTTTCACGAGTGTTGCTTTGTTTCAAAACTTTCTAAACTATTGTGGCAAATAAGTTAGCATTGCATTTCTCTGGAGTCCTTAAGCATAAGGGTGCTTGCTACTTCTGAAATACCATCTCATTCTCATTTAAGTATTTCTAATGGCAATAGCTGTGTTCCACAGATGTAGTAGTCAGCCTTTTACTGCGATGGCACGAAACTACTTCTATAGTCTCTTAGTTTGTAAAATAGCAACTGGTAGACAAGTATTCAAGGGAGTACTTAAGCAGTACTGAAAAGCAGACTAATCTTGATTGTATGCTGAGACAGTAACTTGCAACTGAAAAGATTGCTACTACTGTAGGATATAATAGTTTAATCTTCAACTCTTAAAGCTGTTCTTTGCACAACCCACTGCAGGTAGTCTATTAATCATCCAAAGTGTGTCCTTAAGCTGTCCAGTTCATCTGGAAGTGAATGTGCAAAAAACTGATCTGTTAATGTAAAGCAGGAACTTTTGTGGTGTATGGGATTTTGACAACTAAGATATAACTTTGAAAAAATACCCAATAGAGTGGGGACTGTTGGATTGTGCTGTTTTGGACCTGCTGTCACTTCATTTAATCTAGGAGAATTTGTGGCTTCTCAGGCTGTGCACTGTTATTAAACTACAGTGTGTCTTTCTCAAATAGATTTTGAGAGTTTTGACCTTCCTGAAGAGCACAAACTAAGCAATATCAACCTGCATGGTGTTCCCCTCATGGTATTTGAAAGGACATATGAAAGATGTGTGAACATGGTTCCTTCACCTGTGAAGATTGAAGAGGTTTCATGGGAGTCTAGTAAGTGGAAACTTGGCATGACTTTCAGTACACGCAGTGCTCATTGTGGTTTAGGAAAGAATCTACTGCAGTAGTGAGCTGCCGCTGCTCTACTGGCTAGCAGAATAAAACTACTGTCAGCTTTTGAGGTGTAGTCAAGCTGAATTTAACTAGTACAGGCTGTGGTCTCACTGATGTTGCAGAGTGTTGTAGACAGGTGGTGTGGAGTTACTGGGCACCCGAGCCAGCTTAGGTCGGGTCAATGCTGCACTTGCCCTGTTTCTTGTAAGGGTCTACCTGCTCTGTTGTGGGCTTATGCATGGCTGCATGCTTTGAGGTACTCTAGCATGATCTCATGCACAGCCACAGATTTTTCAAGTTGTGAACTGATTGAGTTGTCTTAGGCAATCAGACTATTTCCCTTAATAATTCAGGGGCCTTATGTTAATCCACTGGGAGCTAACTTATATTTAGGAATATAGATTCTGGGTTTCATGAGAAACTTTTTTTTTTCTAACTTTCAGACTTGCTGCAATCAACTGCCGACTTCCTTGATACCCTGGATGAGATCATTGACATGCCACCTCCGAATTATGACATTTAATCCATATTCTGAAGCTTCTATTGAGTTCAAATTTCATAGTTCTGTATTTTTAAATAAAAGTTAATCTAACCTGTATAATACTAGATTTGTCTCTTTTAAAGAGACCCAAGATGTAGATAGTACAGCAGTGCTTTGAAAAAGAAGACTTAAAGCAGAGCAGGTGAGCTTCAAAGCAAGAGTACGATACACTGTTGTCCACTGTATCTGGAAGTTAGTATGTGCTGATTAGACTACATGGTCATGATAGGTTGAAGCCCTTCTGAACTATTTAGATAACTTTATTAAATACACATTAGTTTTAAACAATTGTGTATCTAGTGTCCATTAAGTACTAGAGCTGGTACTCTTGTGGCATTTTTCTCTATTGAACTCATTTACTATTTACAGTGGTGGTTCAAGATGTGTTGGATTCTTATGCAGCTGCAGACTGCTTCTAATTGTACATCATTGTAGTGCTGATTGCTGGATACTGTCTGTGCTCTGTGATGAAACCCTAGCCTTCAAGTTATAAACACACAGGTTCAATAATATATATTTTTCTTATGTTTTAATGGTCTTAACTCCTGTTTTTCATTACATAAAGCAGGTCAATTGTCAGCCTTCACTTATCTACTTCTACAGCTGTTGGGCAGTGTTCTGATCTAGTTGTATGACAGCAGCCTGAGCTGCCTTCAGCTTTCAGCTCATGCTTAACATGGATTGCAATGCTGTGCCTGTGTTCTGATCACAGGCTGAGGTAGAAAGCCTTTCTGTATTCTATGATGCACCTGAGCTCTGAACAGGAGGTATTGCCATTACACAGTTGCACTGTGGCACCATGTAACTGCAAGCAGTAACAATGGCAAGACCAGCTTTTCAGCTCACATTTTACAGTAATGTCTGAATTAACAAGAAATACACTTTAATGCTTGTGAACTAACTATGAGATGATAAATGCTCTACTGAAGGAATGGGGTTAATTTGGTATGGATCAGTGCTGCATCCCACAGTTCTGCTGCTTGGAGGCATACTGTGGCTGCAACCTGACTGCATGAAGATGAGATGTGAATCTATAACCATAGTCCTTTCATGCTTTGCTTCTAGGAAGCTTAATGCAGGCAGTGAAGGAGCCCTTGTGCTTTTCAATGGGTTGTCTGGTCTGCAGGTGCTGAAAGGAATGTATTTGCCCTGCTGTGATGACATAATGAAGGCTCCTTTTAGTTTTGAAAAGGGTAGCTGGCAGAGCACAGCAAACTAGGTTTTACTTTTTCCTACTTATGGATGTTTCCTCAAGATGTTTTGTTCCCTTAAATGCTTTTTACTCGTTGGGGGGTAGATGTGCCTTCTTGGAATTGTCCTGTTGCAACTGCTAACCTTCACTTGGGACTAGAAACTTCCTGTTACTGGATTATCAGAGATTTAATGAAGTGAAAAGGTGTTCATTCTGTTTCTTCAAACTTGGCAGGGTATTGACTAAAGTGCTAAACTGTACTGAATTATACAATAAATGGTCTTTGTCTTCAGTTTCTTGTAATTGTTTTCAAACTTCGAAGTATTCGGGGGAATATCAAACTAAAGAATATGATTGAGGAAATTCTGTTTAGAGTTTTCCAGTTTTGGCTGATCCTTAATTGCATTTTAATAGCTTTTGATTCCGAGATAACTTGCCCACTTCTGCTGAGAGAAGTTTAATAGGTATAGACTACCAGCTGCAAGAGTTAAACTGTAATAACCGTAAAAGAAAGTGTTAAAACGCATCTTCCTTTGCCTGTTAGTCTTTACCAGTTCAAACGAGCTGGGAGAAAACAGTCCAAGCCAAATTTTACACAGAAATGGCAGTAATTAAGGCACTGAGACTGGTTACACAGCGCCATCATGCGGCCCTTGTTAAGCAGCCACACGGGTAAAAGTCCTTGGTATGCGAAGCCCCAGATAATGTGGTATGAGATACCAATAAGCATATGACATGAAATCATCAGAAATGTTGGCTGTAACTTTTTGTGTGTACAGACATTTTGTCTGGAGGGAGACACTAGTGCTTTCTGTTATGGATGTTTATCATGGCAAATGTAATTATTTTTGGTTGGTTTAAAATATTCACTGTGATCAAGCACCCAGATCTATTATTTGAGCCTCTGGAGATAAGCTTTTTGTGCTGAGTCCATGTATGTATACATGCACACATGTCAATGCTTACAACATGCTTGGTAGTTGTAAGTTTTTATGACAAAATGGGTATTTGACTAATGTTTGTAAAGGTGATAAATGGTTCAGATAGGCCTGTTGGTACTGACAGACTTTAATCCCCAAAAGTTGTTGCTTGTGGTTACAGTGGAACGGGTGTGCAGAAAGCAAAGTGTGAGTCAGACTTGGGAATATTGCTGGTTGGTCTTGCATGAGAATGAATGCTGCTGCAGTGTACAACAGAAGGTAACAATGCTAGAATAAATGGTATGAGTTCATACTGGCATAACCATATTTTGCTTAAATTATTAAATCCTTTCAAAGTCTAGGGGAAAAGACACAGTCATAGGCTTTGTGTCCTTTCCTTTACCTACATCCAGTTTTCTTCTTCCTATAAAAAAATATGAAAGGGTGTTTTGGGTGCAGAGGAACATTTTTGTTAGGATCCTTTTTAGTGTGTTTCATCAGATTTCTTACAAATCCTATCTTACAGCTGCTGGCAGGCAAGACGAGCCAGTCAAAGCTAGGTCTGAGTTAGAAGCAAGCACTTCTCAAGATCTTATCTGTAAATAGGTGAGAAGAAAAAGGTATGTTTCATCATGTAGCCCATCTCTGAGCCAAAGCAGGAGTGTTGCTAGGAAGCTTCTGTATGGAATATAACTTTACTTAGAAACACAATGGAGAAATCAGTTTTCTTTATACTACTACGATAGCTAATTAGTATTTAATATTTAACCATTGATTAGCTTTTTAAAATGTCCATGATCCTTTTGGTTTAAAAGATTCAAAACAAATAAATGCTAATGGTTAATTTCAGACACATCGTTGACAAATCCAGAGTTAAGAAGTCTCTATAGCAGATGAATGATGAAGCTAACTTCAGTTTTGGTTAGATGTTAATTCTTAGCACCAAATGTCAGGTGACTGGGAATGCCTTTGTTCCTTATAGTAGTGCACCTCATCTGGGGCTTCATTGGGATTTCTGGTTAATGCAGGTCCAGAGTTTTGCTTTTGCAGTTTTATTTTGTAAACATTCATCAGAAAGATCCATTTGTTTCAGCTGGCTTTTCCTCTCCCCATTTCATGTACTTTTCAACTTGGCTGGCTGGGGTTAAAGAGAAATGCATGTTCCTGTGACCTGCATGAGAACAAAGCTGTGGTGAGACTCAATCTGTGGGCTGAGCTTCCTGCCTGCAGTGACCTCAGGAGATGGAAGTCACAGAAGCAGAGTCTCCTATTTAGAAAATGTGAACTGTAACTACAAAATAGTCTGTGTCAGCCCCTGAAGGGCTGGCTTCCTGATGCTCAGTATCAGGACAGTGCTGGGAATTCGGCACTGCTTCATGCTGTTTCAGTTAACACTGACTTCCACCAGTGACTGACAAATCAACTTCCCTAACTGTTCTAATGTTGATATATGCAGCTTTTTATACTGGTAAAGTTTTGTTTTCTGATGGGGTATTGTCAGAAATAGATGCAACTTGAGCTCAAAATGGTGTCTGAGCACTACCCTGCACAACAGAAGTCCTATTCAAAAAACTGCTTGTGATGTTTTGGTTTACTTGAACGACTTCCTGCAAAGATCTGAGGTAAAATCTGGGATTTTAAATGCGTGGCTGTGATGAAAACAAATGCTTGTTCTCAGTTTGAACAAGCCTTAAATCATTGTAACTGCAAACCGTGATTGGCAAATCCGGATTGTAACCAAGTACACAGAGCGGGTATCTTTTAAGTTGGTTATTACTCTGTAAAAGCAGAATCTTTGACAGCTTTCTGGCTGTGAGAATCACTTTAAATCCTTACCTGGATTTCTGTAAGGAGAACTTGGAGATTCATAGAAAAATAATCTCTTAGCAGGCTGAGTAAAATTACTTCAGTGCACATCAGATAATTCATCCTATTTGTAATGTTCTGGCAGCGGGTGGCACCATGGTAACAGCATGTATTACGGCTTCTCACTCCCTCAACCTGACAGCTGTGGTGTGATGTTTGCCTTTGGTGCACAGCGCAGGCATCTGTAATGGGTTTCTTTTTGCTTCATTAATGTGAAATGGAGGATAAAAGTCAGCACTAAGGAATTCAGAGTGCCTTTACCCTATGACTGCAGGGAATAGTATATCAGCCAAGGGCATTTTTATCTTTTGTTGCTTAAAAAGAAGAGGAATTAGAACCCTGAGGCAATTGGTCTCTTTAGGGTTAGCAGAGCCAGGAATCTTGTAACTTTTAGTTTCACTGTAGTTTTATTAGTGTTAGCTGTATAGAAATACAATAATGTCCCTCTAACTATCCCCAAAGTGGTACTGACTGTGTTCTGAGAGACATAGGCACTGATCTGCCCAACATGCTATAGTGAGGTTTATATACAGTTTATATACACAATATACACTTAGTAACTGGTTGTTTGGGATCTGGCTGCAAGCACGTGTTTTTGCATAGAAAGTTACAAAGCATGTAAGAAAAGCATCACTGATAAATTTATTTGTAACTGTGGTTGGGAAGAAGTTGAAAGCATGGTGGGTCTGTTGTGCTTGAATGATCTACAGCATTAGAGGGAGAAGGTATAAAATGTCCTTAATGTGTATTTTCTTGCAGTCAGATTATGAAGAAAGCCAGGCTGAAAAAGGAGCATGCAAACAACCTGCTGGGGTGGCTGTTTTGTGCTTTTCACACAGGTGAGGTGATCTCTCCCAGTCAATGAAGCTTGAGGGGAGGTTCATGGAGCTGAAAGCAGTGTGCAAGGATATCACTGAGATGCTAAACTTATCTTAAAAGTTGCTGAGGACCTTGAAGGTCAAGTAAGACGGAGGTACCGTTTTGGTGATGAAGATTCTTTTTCTTCCATCATTTTTCAGTTACTTGAAGCAGAATTAGAGATACTTATCTGGCAGGGGAGACACCATGATCAAGCAGGTGGTTTTCCCAGGGCGAGGCTCATCTTGGGGGTTGGAACTAGATGATCTTAAGGTCCCTTCCAACCCTAACCATTCTGATTCTATGCTTCCTTTGGGCTTGTAATAATGACTGGTGTGGCTGTACACAAAAGGATTTGAAAAAGGGGAAGCAAAGGTTTTTTACATGGGACACTGAAGATTCAAAGAATAGAATGATGCAGGGTGATAGACATAATATGTGTGGAGACATAG